GGCGCCCCCAGAACAGGGAGCACACAAAGGACGCACGCGCCCAGCTATGCACATGAACACGGCCCCTTGACCCGCGAGAGACCTGCCGCGCGACACGAACACTCGCGCAATGCGAACTCTCGAAACCAGCGTGGATTCATGTACATGTACGGCAGGTTCGCGTCGTGTCGACCCCAGCGATGGTTTCTGTCACCTCGGGGATCTCTTTCAACCTTGAACGATCGGCCCTTTCCCAGACGTGCGATCCTTCAACATCGACCGATTCTGGGTCGCCGGCGGCGTTCAACCTTGAACGCCCACGCTGGGGTCGCCGCCGGTCGACACGACACGAACCTGGACGTAGGAGTAGGAGTAGGAGGCGGAGTAGGAGTAGGAGTAGGAGTAGGAGTAGGAGTAGGAGGAGGAGGAGGAGGAGGAGGAGGAGGAGGAGGAGGAGGAGGAGTACGTCCTTCTTTCGCTCCTGACAGCAGCACCCCGGGAGGCCCCCCCGGGGAGGCCGCGCGCGGCCCCCCGGGAGGCGCCCCGCGGCAGCACCCGCAGGAGCAGCGGCGGCGGGAGCGATGGGGGCCCCGCGCGCGGGCAGGAGCGGCCGCATCCACGGCCACCTCGCCCCTACTCCTACTCCCCCTCCTTCCTCCTCCTCCTCCTCCTCCTCCTCCTCCCTCCTCCTCCTCCTCCTCCTCCTCCTCCTCCTCCTCCTCCACTTCCGCCTCCGCATCCAGGACTCGGGGGCGCGCAAACTGAAGGGGCCCCAGGACACACAAATAACTACGCACAAAATCAAAAAAGATTCCCCGCATTTTCCTGCATTTTTTCTGGGTTTCCGTCTTCCCCCCCCCACTGCCCACGTTCTCCTATATTTTCTGGGGAATCGACGATCAATTGTGTCTGTGTGTTTCTTTTCCTCCTGGCAAACATGGATCAGCGATCCGTGGACGTGGCGCGCGGTCGCCAAATGCATGGATCGGGGGAGGCGCGGCCAGTGCCGCCTCGCTCGGCGGCGGAAGTCGGCGATGTCCCACGGAGGCGGGACCCGTCGCCAATCCACGCCCCCCTGATCCATGTCTGCGATCGCGCGGCAGACGCTGGGCGCCCGAGTGATCCGAGAGGACTCCGCTCTGGGGCAACTCCGGCCTGAGCCCTGGCGAGCACGCACGAGTCAGGAGCTACTGAAGGGGCTCCAGGACACACAAATAAATACACACAAATAAAAATATTCCCCATATTTTCCTATATTTTCTGGGTTTCTGTCTTCCCCCCCACTTCCCATATTTTCCCATATTTTCTGGGAAATCGAGGATTAATTGTGTCTGTGTGTTTTTTCCTCTCCTGAGCTACCCCTGACCACACCCGGCCACGATGATTCGGGAGTGGTTGGACTCCCGAGCTATCTCTGGGGCAACTCCGGTTCGGGCCCCCGAGGCACGAATCGGGAGCTACCCCTGACCACCCCCAGCCCTGATGACTCGAGGCTCTGACGACACCCGAGGAGTGGAGATAGGGAATGAGTGTGGCCCTAGAGGCCAGATTGTTATCCATATCCAATGCGCCTCGGCCTTTTGGCGCCCCTGCCCAGAAAGTCCAAGACGCAAAGGATGTAGATGTAAAACTTGCCCGCGCAACACCTCCTCACGTCGGAGGCCTCGGGGGGGCGGAAGAAACATCAAAAGACAGACCCCAAAAAGCTCGGTCGACTATCCGGCGCTCCCGCGGCCGGGGCCGAGGCCCTGGATCGCATCGACCCTCGATCGCATCGGCCCTCGATCGATCGATCGCATCGGATGGCGAGCGAGCAAACACGTCCATGCCATAGGAGGGACAGAGGGGCCTGTGTGTGCGTGTTGTCGGATGGAGGCCCCCGCTCGAACGGGAGCCTCCCCCGCTGTCCGACATCCCGCACCCGTACGCATAGCCAGTCCTCCTCCCTCCGATCTCCCTATGGGCATGGGTGTCTCGTGGACCAGAAAACCAACGACACCACCCCAACTACATACGGCCCCAGGGTACTTAGCGTATACCAGGACATCTGGCGTGGGCTCTTGCATGCTGTACGCTGCGGCGCCCGCTGGGCCGCAGCGCAACATGGAGGGCCGCAGGTGGGGTGGCGTCGCTTGCTTTCTGGTCGATGCTGCTCGTTCGACAGCTGGATCTCGATCGGCCCCCGATCGATCGACCCTCGACCGATCGGCCAACCCTCCGAAGGGGACCCCCCTTGGCTGAAACCGCCCCCCCCCCGCCACGCGCGCGGGCGGGCGGCGGCCGGCCGCCTTCTCCTCCTCGAGCCTTTGCCGCTTCTCCTCCTCCACCGCCGACAGGGACGGCCCAGGCATCGGCGGCGGCTTCGCCTGGGACGGGCCAGAAGCAGGGGTGCTTCTACCGTCGGGGCGTTGACCTAAGGAACGAGAAATGAGGAACGAGGCCCCTTTTGCCCACAGGTTAGACTTCGATTTCCAGTGGACAACCTCAGGAAAACCGAAGGCAAACTGCATAACATTCAAGGAACACCGAGCCCCTCCCCAACGAAAAGGGTTCCTTCTGCAGCGCCCCGACTGTACAAGAAGCCTTCCCCCCTCCCCCTGCCCCCCTCTGCGCGCAGCCGAGGCCGGGCGGGAGGCCGACGAGGCGGGAGGGCTGCTGGAGCTGGAAAGTCCCGGGTTCGCGGGGGGCTGGTTTTCCACGAAAGCGACCGAGGCCCTCTCCCAGAGGAGGAGCCCTCCGAAACCCTCCCGGAACCCCATCCGGGAGGGCTTGCGGATGGCTTCGGGAGGGCTTCGGCCGCATGCAGAAAAACCCAGGTCCCCAGCGAAACCTGGACTTCCTCATGCTGGCGCCTGCTGCTTTATGATTCGCGGGAACGCCCGTGACCGCCCGCCACCCCGCCGAGCCGTGGTCCCGTCACGACTCGCGCCGGCGCCGTCTGGGAAGGAGCGAGAGCCCCTCCGAAGCATCCGCGATCACCAGGGGGAGAGGGAGGCCCCGTCGGGGGCGGCGGGGGAGGCCCCGTCGGGGGCGGCGGGAGAGGCCCCGTCGCGTGCGGCGGCCTCGCCCGGACCCGCGGGGCAGGGGCTGGGCCCTGGGGGGTGGGGGGCACCGGGGGGGGAGATGGCCTGGCCTCGGGATCCAGAGGGCTCGGAGCAGAGCCTCGGGCTCCGACGCTGGGGGGGGGGGGCCTGTCCCCTCTGCGCGGCATCGGGGAGGCAGGGGGTCCAGCGAGAGCGAGGCAGAGGCGCCGGAGGGGACGGCCTGCCCAGGGAGAGCAGAGGGCCTCCAGCGAAGGCCTCGGCCTCGAACCGAAGGGGGGTTGTTCCCTCCGCTGTGGCAGCGCGGAGGGGAGGGGGAGGAGGAGGAGGAGGAGGAGGAGGAGGAGGAGGAGGAGGAGGAGGAGGAGGAGGAGGAGGAGAACGACGAGGAGGAGGAGGAGGGAGGAGGAGGGGAGGTGGACGACGAGGAGGAGGAGGAGGACGACGAGGAGGACGAGGAGGAGGAGGAGGAGGAGGAGGAGGAGGAGGAGGAGGAGGGGAGGGGGTTGTTCTTCCCTCCACTGCGGCATCGGGGGGGAGGGGACGACCCTCCTCAGGGAATCCAGAGGCCCAAGAGGGCCCCAAGACAGCCCAAGAGCTCCCCAAGGCGGTCCCAGAAACCCACCAGAGGGACACTGGCGGACTCATCTGCCCCAGAATTCTCCTGGTCGCGTCGACTTCCCACCAGATTTTTACAAGATTGCCTGAAGTGGCCCACGGACGGCCACGACAGGGCCACAACAAGACGGCCCAAGAGACCCCCAAAACTTCTACGGAGACTTGCAAGTGCCTCAAATGTATTCGTCAGCCTACTGCTGTTCTTCGTCGCGAATGCTCTGATCGCCCGTGCGGGCCACTCGGTGAGAATATATTGCGGAACGCTCCCAATCCACAGTCGGACAAATCACTTAGGCTCCAAGGGGTCGGCGCTGTGGCGTCTGGCGGGGAGATGGACTCGCCTCGCCGCGCCAGGGGGGGGGGGGCCTGGAAAGGCCTAGGGCTGCGCGCAGGCGGACCCCACAGGCAGTCCTGGCTGGCCCCAACCCTGGGGCGCTGAGCGCCTCGTGGGGGCCGCCAGAGGCAGCACCAGGGTGTTGAGACCGCCCCGGAATACTCGGGCGGGCCCGTTGAGGCCAGCCTGGACTGCCTGGGGGGGGGGGGCTGCCAACGCGCAGCCCGAGGCCTCATGAGGAGGCCAGGGGGTACTCCCGAGGTTCTCTTGGCCTTGTAGTCTTTGACTATCACCTCCGGCTCCGGGATCAGGCGGGGCTTCGGCCGCGTCAGGTTGAACGGCTTTGCCTCGGTGACCCTGGACAGTAGGGAGGCGTGCCTCCTCCTCCTCATCCTCATCCTCCTCCTGGTCCTCCTTCTCCTCCTCCTCCTCCTCCTTCTCCTCCTCCTGGTCCTCCTCCCTCCTCCTCCTCCTCCTCCTCCTCCTCCCTGCTCCCTGCTCCCTGCTCCCCCCTCCCTCCTCCCTCCTCCCTTCTCCCTCCCTCCCAAAATCCGACTCCGACTCCGACTCCGACTCATCATGCTCATCATGCTCATCATCATCATCATCATCATCATCATCATCATCATCTTCATCATCAGCAGCAGCAGCAGCAGCATCATCAGCATCATCATCATCATCATCATCATCATCATCATCATCATCATCATCATCATCATCATCATCATCTTCATCATCATAATCATCATCATCATCATCATCATCATCATCATCATCATCATCATCATCATCATCATCATCATCATCATCATCATCATCATCATCATCATCATCATCATCATCATCATCATCATCATCATCATCATCATCATCATCATCAACATCAGCATCATCATCACCATCATCACCATCCTCATCATCATCATCA